GAGAGAGAGAGGGGGGAATGAAATCTGCTTTCCATTCCAATAATTCGCTCCCTCCTCGTCCACATTGTGCTTCCCAACACATTTGGTGGTTGGCGGGTGTTCTGGTGCGGTTTGCTCCTTCTTTCCCATCATACATTTTATTATTATATATCGCTCTTACCTCTCCTCCTTCTTTTCATTGTATGTAATTCTCAGTAACACCTCTAATCTTTGACACATATTAGATTACCTCCTTCTGTAAAACTATAACTTTCCCCACACAGAGCTCGATGGAGGAGAAAGTGGGAGTGTTATCTCAACGGCCAGTCCGGCGCCCGTCAGCAGTGGTCATCTCTCAGCGTAACTGGTTCCTCATCCGGGCTCTGGCCATTGCCACGTCATGTCTGTGCGTTTTGCTGATCATCGCACTGATCGTCGTGGTCATCATAAAGACCACGCCCCCTTACTGCTCCTCGTCCGAACTGGTCGGGAAGGGGCCCAATCTGGAGAACCCTGGCCTCTTTAACGATTTGACCCCGAATGAGATGGAAGCGGTCCGTGACTACATGCTAGGTCAAGACCGACTCGGTCTCACGCCGTACGAGGATGCGACTGTCAACTCTAGCTACATCTACATGATCACGCTACAAAGCCACCTGAAAGACACCATGCTCAAATTCCAGACGGGGAATCATCGGCGACCGCGGCGAGCAGCGAAAGTTGTAGTGTACAGAGGTGACCAGAGGCCCGCGCGGGTGGAGGAGTATCTAGTAGGTCCCTTACCCCAGCCCAGCTACGCGCGTGCTTTGTGGAGTCCGGCGTATAGGCGGGTCCCCATCCCCTACACCAGTCGGCCGGTGGACACCATAGAGAGGAAACAACTCAAGGAGTTTCTCAACGTCATCACGGAGGAATTGCAGTCCTTGTTTCGGGAGAGTTATGGCTTGTCATATCACAACTGCTCGCGCGGTGAAGGGTGCCTCATCTTCCGGGACTTTGCGCCGCGCGGAACGGAGAGTGGACAGCGCATGTCCTGGTTCTGGGCCTACAGGGATAAAGACGGGTCTTATCTGCACCCGCTAGGCTTTGCCGTGCAGATAGACCACAAGGATCCTGATCCTAGCATGTGGGTGGTTACACGGGTCATGTATAACGGTCAGCTGTTCTACGAGATAGAGGACCTGGCTCAGCGTTACGCCCAGGGAAGTCTCCGAAAGATCGTGGGGATGATGGATCCGGTGGACGCTCAGTTCTCGAGCTACAAGCGCCGGGGACACGCTTCGTTCGACACGCCTCTCCGCGGACCCCGACTCGTGGAGCCAGATGGACACCGGTACTCCATAGACGACCAGTTCGTCAAGTATTTCGGCTGGAGCTTCAACTTTCATATGAGAACTACCACAGGTCTGCAGATCCTGGACGTATACTTTCAAGGAGAGAAGATCGCTTACGAGCTTTCGCTCCAGGATATCACAGCCTTCTACACCGGCTACACCCCCGAGACCAGCTGGCTGGCCCTGTATGGCGTCTCCTGGCTACTCGGTGCCTCCTCGTACGAGCTGGTACCCGGAGTAGACTGCCCAGCTACAGCCTCCTTCAGAGACGCTTACCATTACGTAAACACGGGTAAGCCGCTGAGGTACAAGAACTCTGTATGTGTCTTCGAACATTCCTCGTCCCTCCCTCTCCGCAGACACTTCTCTCGCGATACTGATGGGAAGTTTAATTCTTACGGTGGGCTGGTGTCCAGCAGTCTCGTGGTGAGAACGATCATCAGCCTGTGGAGCTCCGACTACATCCTCGACTATATCTTCCATCTAGACGGAGCCATCGAGCTGAAGATCTCCCTCACAGGCTACGTTCATGCGTCTTACGACCTGACAGGACAGAGACCTTACGGTAACCGTCTCCATGACAACGTACGTGGGAACTTACACCAACACCTGTTTCACTGGAAGGTCGACCTGGACATCGAGCAGACGAGTAACAGGTACCAGACGCTTGACTTGTCCACAGAGTCCGGCTCCAGTTTCTGGTACGAGGGCGAGGTCAACAAAACACAACTCAAGTTTGAGCCGGTGCTGAAAGAGGACGAGAGAGACGCCAGTGCCCCCTACGACTTCGACCAGCCTCGCAAACACATCATCTATAATCGCAAGGCGGATAACCGGTTTGAAGCTCACAGGGCTTACGAGATCATCAACGAGGCTAAGAGCAAATTCCTGTTGGAAAATTCCGCCATTACCAACGCTGCCAGCTGGGCGAGATACCAGGTACAGTTGATTAATAATGCTGGGAAAATCAGAAACAGTG